CTCACCTAATAACTCAAAATATGTGTTCGTTCCTAAAATGAAAGTCTGCTAATAAATATTTTGTTTCCTATTGATTATTTTTATTTCTTTCTCATCCTGTGTGTACAATCCCCTGTGCTCTTTAGGATAAGTATTTATTGCAGGTGATGCACTTTTTAGGGGAGGTTACTCTCGAGGGGAAGATATATGGCCTGTGAATTTCTCCTTGCTTGACAAGGTATGGGAACAGCGGGTAAGACTTGTCACCAGGTGGCACCATCAACCTAAGTTACACTTCAGCTAGGTGAGTGCAATCAAGTTTCTGTTCGAGAAGAAGGATTGCTCTTTTCAATTCTCTTCATAGCCGAGGTAAATACATTACACAGAGAACAGCCAATTTTTTCTTCTGTTCACTGGTACATTTCAAATTATTTCAGCGCAGTTGCAGTGATACAATCTGGTGAAGAACTGTCCACACTCTATGCATGGTGAGTGAAATGTAGGACAATCTTTCTCCATAAAACACCTTCCTCCTTATGCATTTTGCAAGAGACTGCGCATTTTGTGCATAAAACAGCTACTTTTTCCCCACTCAAATCCAGTTATGCAGAACAGGACAAAGGAATTCTCCTGCAGAAGTGTATGCGCCTAAATGCTCTTTTAGCTTATTTTTAGAATATCTTCTATGAACCCGAACAATAAGAAATTGATTTTCCTTGCTTTCTGGTGAGTAGCACCACACACTGAGCAAACGTAGCCCATTGCAGAGCAGCTAGTGAGTCCCATCACGGCTCACTATGTAGAAACGTTGTTAGTGGCCCCTCTCCTTATCAGCTTTGCTGCAGCCCGTTTGTGCTTGCATTGCTTCTTGGCACTCGCCAGATGGTGCAGCAGTTGGCTGAATCAAAGAACAAAACTTTTCAAGCAGCAGACATTTCATTGGGTTGAGTTAAAAAGTTAAAATTACTTTAGATAGGGTCAAATTACTCTTTACAGGGCTTTTCGTGACTTTTAACAGCTTGATCCTGGGATGATATAATGGTATTGTGATTTTTTTTTCTAAACAATGATGTAAACCTAGTGATAGGATTCTAGGGTAAATCTTGTTAGCAAATTCTTGTTCTTCTTTTGATCAGGTGTTAAAGAAATAAAGACCATCAGCTAGCTCCTTCCAGATATACTGGCATATTTAGAGTCAGTAGTGTTAGTTAGCTACCCTTTGGGACTCTTAAAAGCATGATTTTAGGATGCACAGTAGGTCTTAGCTGACAAAAGTAAACAGGAATACAGAGACTTATACGGAAAAAATTGATTTCTTTAGCTTTTTATTATATTGAAACCATCAAATGGATATTTTTTATGTAAAATATGAATTGCAAGGTCGCATTAGAAAAATAGGTTCTAATTAGACTATGCTAGAACATACTCTCTGGTCTCTCAGTGATTTCTGGGACAATGTTATGTAAGATCGTACTAAATTGCAGGTCATGAGGTAATTTAAATCATGCATAGTATATACGTTTTCTTACTTTCACTTGTTTTTATGGTCAGCTTTCTTTATGTCTGTCAGAACAAAAAGTATAGCCAAGCAGAAAATCTGAATTTCTCTAAATAAGCTTATGAAACTCCAAGTATGGAAACTGCAAAGTTCTGCTCAGGTAGACTCCTTGCTCATAAAGATAAGGGAAATAGTCAGGACATCTCGAAAGAACAATTGATTCTCTTGAGATTTGCATAACTGTGCATTTTTTTTTTACTGATGTTTGCCCACTGTAACACAATAGATAACGGAGATGCCTATTTATCTTCATCCCCTAACGAAGCTGCAAATGTGCATGGTTGCATAGCAAACAGAAAGACTGAGCTACACAATATCTTAAGGCAAGAAGTGCCGTTAGGCATCTCACAAAAATCTTGTTAGTTATAAAAAAAAAAAAAAACCCATACATCCCCTTCTGAGTTTCAGTGTGCTTCAGTGTGGACATCTTAAATAGTGGCAGTAACAGTGTTATTACAGTGATGGTCTGAGGATGCAAGTGAGGCAGGGTTTGTAGAGAGAACAAGAACAGGCAAGTCTTTTTGGTTCGAGGAGGGGATTGCCTGAAAATGTGCTTCTTTATCCTAGTTATATAACAAAGAAACTATGCCACTATCAAATACATTTGCGGTCCAAAAATGTTAGTATTTTTTCACCTTTCGAGGGCTCCAAATGGTGTAGCAGGTAACAGAAATTTAACTCCTGAGTCATGCTGTTGCACTTATTTATATATTTCCAGTTTCTTTCACTTGTAAAATGAAACACGCTCATTGCGGCAAAAAAGGAATGGACCTGAGGTATAGCTGGAACTGTTTATTTCAGATGCTGCACTGCATAAAGTCAGCTCTTGGCACCATAAAACACTCATAATACTTTAACCTAGTTTCAAAGTGCACTGCTGTATTCTTTGGGGTGAGTAGGTTGTACTCAGGCTTACAGAAGTCAGTCACTTCCCATTTTGTAGCCCTTTGTCTGGTCCTCATGCCACTTTTGGCTTTCATTTCTTTTCACAATATTCCTGTCTCTTTGCTTTTTATAATTTTTTCCTTAATTTCTCCATGTTCTTTTCATGTCTTCAGACATGCTTTTTGGTGTGGTCTGGTTTTATTCCCTGCGGTCAGGGGCAGGTCATGGATTTTGTGCCGGGGGATTGTCTGGAATTCTAACAAGGACCAGAAGGACCCAAGAAGGTCTTGGGTGTGATGCTGCGGGCAGCTGCCTGTGCTTTCCGTTCTCGACAGTTTTAAATTATTGCTGTTTGCTTGCCTGCAAGCCTTCACTAAAGCTGAAATTGTTGCGCAAGCTCTGATATGTCAGGAAAACTGCAGATAAAGGACGAGGAAAGCAATTTACCTGTCGTGGAAAGTCTATCGCATTGCATGACAGTTTTTCAATGCCTGGTCAGTGTGTGAATTGTGTCAACAGTGGTTTCATTAGGCGTGATTTCAGGTCAACGGATTTATATAACCCGTAGGCGCTCCTACGCTTTCCAGAAGTACACCTGCACATTGCATAGACAACTTATGAATAGTTTGTATCTCTGCTTCTGATAGGAGTTGACATATAAGTTATTAGGTTATTGACCTAATCTACAGCAGAACTGAAAGATGATTGCTTAAACTGAAATGGAATACACCTTAAATTGACTCTACATTTGTGTAGAGAGTTTTCAGAAATCCTTGTTAGATCTAGGTGAAATTTTTCAGATGAATGATTTTTTTTTTTTTGAAGATAAAGTTTGGAAATGACCAAAGTGATTTATAAATATCAGTTCAAATTTGACAAGGATTATGGACTGAAAAAGAAGAAAACATTACAAAAAATGTAAGTCACAGTTTTCTAAATCAAGAATTTTGCTTTCTCTTTTGAATAACATGCTTCCTAGTAGGATGTAGCTAAGTATATTTTTAAAAATTGACACTTCCAGCCAAGGAAAAATATATAATCCTTAAAGCAAGCAATTTTAAAGACAAATGGAGCAGTTAGTTAAACACAAAACAATTTTTAAGCCTACTTTCCTAAGAAAACAGAGCTTGTGAATCTATACTGCCAGTATATGTGCTGATCTGTTAGTCTGCCTCTCATTCCCATGCCACTCATTACTTTTGATATCACTGACCAAAACAGACCAAAAAGAGTAATCTGAAAGGTCTCCTGAAAGGGTGCTGCTATTGGCCCAGTTTTACGATTGAAAAACTGAAGTTCAGGAAAAGCAGACACCAAATTCGTTCCAGCATTCAGACATCTAAACGCATACACAGGTCATCCAACAGGATTTTTAAAAGCTGCCCACTGCTTCTAAATATAATTAGAAATTTGGCCTGAGAGGACTAGGCCTAATATTATTGAAGTCTAATGAAAGCAAACCATAGCCACTGGATTATCCTTCCTTTTATATTTTCTAACCAGCTCTTCTCTGTCCATACCTCCCTAGTGGACTTGCTCCCTGCGCTCCAGGTTACAAATGCTGTAACCGCTGGGCCCCTCTGGTTCCTGTTTTCAGATTTTTCCCCTCTTCTGGACGCCTCCTCACAGGGTCATTCCCAGCCCTGGCCTCAGAGCCGCCGACTCCGCTCAACGAGCGATGTTAGCACCCCTCAGCGGTACTGCTCAGGCTGTATGTCAGTCCCATTCCTGGCAAGTTTGTCAGTAAGTTGTGTCTACTCCTTCCCAAGATTGTGTCACTGTGCTAGCTGGGGAAGATTTTTGTATGGACTTTTATTTCATGCTGCACGCTACAGAACCTCATTTTATAAGGTTGCTTAAGTGCTGAAGGAAACAGGGCCCTGACAAGCTTTCAATTTCTTTTTCAAATTCCTTTGTGAAAATATAAAGGCATTTTATATATCACTGAACTAGGCAGCAGTTGACAAATAGTTTCCTCTTTGGAGGAGTGGAGTTTTATGTACCCACTTGCTTTCAAGTATGTGTTGCGAACTGAATTAGCAAGTGAATGTCATGTGTTTGCCATTCTGCCTACATTCTGAAATTTGAATTTTCAATCATCTCCTTTACTTTAGGTTAATTAATTTGACTTAATTAAATTTAGTCAGCTACTCTACAATTTTTCCAAGCAAAATAAAAGTGCAGAAATGTCTGACTTATGCTAGTTTGTAAAATTTTTGACGTAGTTATAAATTATAAATATGTGTATTCCTCTACTTTATTTTACTGGCTACACACCAAAGATATCCAATAATTTTCTGGAAGAACAAACTCCTCACATTTTCAGAAATAGCTATATGACTATAGAACCCTTTTATCATTGACATCTATCAAGATCCTAAATCAAATTTTAAAAGGATGCTGATCACCCAAATGACTTTGAAATCTTCATTCCATGGCTGTTAATTAAAGGACCTTACAGTATAATGTAAGGAAAGACAGATAGTCCAGCAGAGACAAGTTCTAAAGAAGATGTACAAAAAGACGGGCATAGTGGGTTTTGGCCATGTTTTCACAAAATCCAAATAAATCTATGCTTATAAATATACAAAATAGCTGCATGTTCCTCATGGAAATTAATTGTTGTTTTTGAGTGTTGAGAAATGAAATTCCAAGTCAGATATATAGCTGTAAGTGCTATTTTCAATGCGGCAACGGAGCACTGACCGTGCATTGTGATAAAAGGGACAATTCAAAGCTGGGCTGCATCCTGCTGATTGGTGTTCAATGTACCAGTGTCCTGACCTCCTGTCCACATTGGGAAACCCTTGGAGCTTGCTCTTCAGTAAAATCCTCTGAATTTAACTCCTTCCTGTGCCACCAGATATCATTCTGACCATGAGAAATGTTCTGCCATCTTTAACTGTCATCTTATGAGATGGAACAGCCAATTCAGTGTCTTTGTATAAATGGGCAAGAAGTTATCTGCTTTCTTCCCCCTCAGGGTGAGTGCTTTTCATCTGGTCTCCACCTTATTTCATTTGTTTCACGCATAGCCCTGCTAAGAATTAAACTTCCAGCAGTTTAGCTCTGACTCACTTGAATACACAAATCTCTCCAGGTAAAGTTAACAGGGAAGGGCAATGTTATGACTGAAAAGACATGAAGTGGGCATAGATGCTTATGTATGGGTGTAGGCATTGTGCTGATGGGGGCAGCTGACTTGCTGCATGGGGAGGAATCAAGAGAAGGTAAGTATTTTTGAAGGAACAAATTCCTCTTTGTACTGGATTTGATAGTGTAATCCTAACTATGATGGGGCTTACTTTATAGGCAACGAGTGGATAGTTCAATAGAGAAGTGGTAAAACGATCAGATCTGTACAGCTATGGATGTTTTCTGTGCGTCATATGTCTATGGTTGCTTTCTTTCTCACATTTCTCTTCCTACAGTTAATCTGTACTCAAAGCATTTTATTTGGCAGACTAGGTCAATATAGACTTATGGAATGACGAAGGAAAGATCTTTTTGTCTGAATAGTTGATTATAATATCCAAACAAGTCATATTCAAAGGAAATATGTCACTTAAGCATCTCTGTTTTTTAAATGACCCATCTTGAACTGGTTGATTCTTAGTGAAGATATCTAGGGGGTGAACACAAATAAAGCAGAACAGAAAACTCCTAGTAAAATGAGAAGCGGTATTGCTTTTCATTCCTGTTGTCTACTTCGGGGAATTGGTTAGATTAAGATTTAAGTAAGCCTAAAAGACAGGAAGCCAGAAACAAAATAGAACACATCCAAAATTTACTCTTATATTAACATCATAATACTCTGAAAGGGTAATCCTGCCAATAGTTACATCTGTGCTTTTTGCAAGATGATGATAAAAAAGCAAAAGAAATCTCTTCATTTTCAAGATAGCCTCACAGAGAACGCAACAAGACATGGAACCATCTCCCAGTCTCCACTGCCAGCTTCTGTTTTATGTGATGTCCTTGGATGCCCAAAAGATTAGGCATCCTGATCCACCTGGCCCATATAACAGAGATCAAAGACATTTCTTCATCTACAAACTTAAGCTCCTGGTAAGTGCATCCTTTTACTAAGTCACACAATATTTTAATACTAACCAGTATTAGTGCATTTTTCCAGTAATTATGCTGAAACACAAAGTTATTTGCATCTGTAAATTGTTATGAATTTGGTAAATGGAGGAAAGGCTGTAACATAACATATGAAAGATATATTCATGGAGATTATGTTTCATCAAGTGGGAAAGTTGATATTCCTTTCTTTTTCAGTTCTATGGAAATGAAGAGGACAAATTGGAGGTCATAGTCTGTGCAAATTAGTAGGGACATCTGACTCTTGAAGGGGCAAAGTTGTGGACCAGTTCTCTCAAATGGCAATATATTAAGACCAACAAAAAAAGGTATCATTTTAAAATTACTTCATGTTCTAAGTATGAACAGATAGAATATGTGCCAGTGGGAACTTTACATCCATTTTTTATTTTCACAAATTAGAACCCTATAAAAAAAGAAACCTAAAAGTAAAAAGCAGGTTTGATTTATGACTTGATGGTCTTGATTTATTCATCAGTCTGGAAGTTTCTTCTGCAGTATTTTTATTCATTTAATCAAATGAATAAATGACCAGTCTTTGTATGCCAGGCACATTTTCCTTCTCTCTTGAGGTAAAAGCACCTTTACTCCCGATTACTAAATCTCTATTACAGTTCATTTACCCTAGAAAGTCAGAAATTAGATCAAGTTTCAACATCTCAGTGGTCATTCAGTCAGGACCGGAATGGGCAGGAAATTAAGGTCGGGTTTTGACATCGGGAAAAGCATCTGTTTGTCAGCTGCGACATGTGAAAGACCGATTCAAAAACCTGAAGCCAAGCAGGTATTTTGCACTAGATTGGTGTGAAATTTTTATTCGTGTTTTGGTCCAGTTCCACAGACATTGAATGTGATTCTACATTTGTGGTGGCACACAGTCAAAATCACTCTTGGCCAGCTGGATACCACATGCCTTTCTTGAATTCAGAGACTCATTGCACTGGATCATTAAACTTCTAAATTAACACTCATTATACCTGAGGAAAATATTCTCCTCTCTTGATGCTATGTTCGTTTCTATTTTTCTTAATGCAAGCTTGATAAATACCAAAGCTCATCTTCTTCTTAAGAAAAAAAAAAAAAAAACTCTTTTTTTCCCTAATGGAAAATATGTATTCTTGCAAAATCAATAATTCTGTCATTCTATACACCTTGCCATCAACACGGAAGGTAAGTTTGATTACATTTGGATTTTGAATTATTCAAGGTCTTGAACAAATGAATTTTTTCTCTAAAGTCCAAACAACGTGGAACAGTCTTCACTAGGTTTTTCTCATTGAACTATCACAAGTTTTCTATTCTCTATGTCAGGAAACAGTCATCCATGAGATGTCTATGCTGACACATACATGCAGGCTGTTAGCAGGGTACAGCAGCTGTTTCTTTATTTCTTCTTCTAAATCCTTTCCGAAGTGTAAGACTGACATTTTCTGGATGTATCTATGTGTAGGTACATTGATATCTTTGCCAGTTCCCCAGCTGAATTACTGCTCAAGCTAAGTTGGTATAGATAGGCATAAAGCATGCGCACTATAGATAGCTCCTTATACTCTTACTTGCCACTGGATGTGGCGTTTTGTCTTTGTGAAAGGATATCATTACTCTTTGCAGAGGAATTAGCCAGTGCAAGAAAAGAGTCAGATTCTCCGTAGTGAAAAAGACACATCTGTGTGCAGCGGGAAGAGTTGCCTTCTGAAGTTTTCAGGGAGTCATACAGGCATTGCTAGAAAGTCATAGGAGGTTGGGAAGAGTTTGCAAACAGTATTGGGAGGCATGAACCAGAAGGAGGTTTATAGTAAAAAGAGTCTATTGGGACACTCTTGCAAAACTGATATAGGACTCTCCTGGTTTAGATCTGCTGCCTATCATCTTTCTACATATCAGAGTGCTGTCCTCCTTACCATTTCTTTTCAAGATACTTGTTCCTTTCCTACAGCACTTCAAAAGTCCCGGTGCCTAAGGTTACAACCCTAGGGAAGAATGTCCTAGGACAAAGTACAAATAAAACCGGTTACTTATGACTGAATGGACTACATCGTAGAAATAAATATTTCTGCAAGCATAAGCGAAAAAACAAAAACAGATTGACTCTTAACAGAATCACAGAATCACAGAGGGTTTGAGGTTGGAAGGGACCTCTGGAGATCATCTAATCCAACCCCCCTGCTCCAGCAGGGTCCTCTAGAGCATATTTCCCAGGATCGCATCCAGGCAGGTTTTGAATATCTCCAGGGAAGGAGACTCCACAGCCTCTCTGGGCAACCTGTGCCAGTGCTCCGTCACCCTCTCAGGAAAGAAGTTTTTCCTCAGATTTAAACAGAATCTCTGTGTTTGTGCCCATTGCCTCTTGTCTTATCACTGGGCATCACTGAGGAGAGTCTGGCCTCCCCAGGCTAGGGACAACCCCCCCTTCAGATACTTGTACACATTGATGAGATCCCCTTCTCAGTCTTCTCTTCTCCAGGCTAAACAGGCCCAGCTCTCGCAGCCTTTCCTCATATAAGAGATGCTCCAGTCCCCTGATCATCTTGGTAGCCCTCCGCTGGACTCTCTCCAGCAGTGCCATGTCTCTTGTACTGGGGAGCCCAGAATTGGACACAGGACTCCAGATGAGGCCTCACCAGGGCTGAGTAGAGGGGCAGGATCACCTCCCTCGACCTGCTGGCAACACTCTGCCTAATGCACCCCAGGATCCCATTGGCCTTCTTGGCCACAAGGGCACATTGCTGCCTCATGCTCAATTTGTTGTCCACCAGGACTCCCAGGTCCTTCTCGGCAGAGCTACTTCCCAGCAGGTCACCCCCCAGCCTGTACTGCTGCGAGGGATTATTCCTCCCCAGGTGCAGGACCCTGCACTTGCCTTTGTGGAATTTCATGAGGTTCCTCTCCGCCCACCTCTCCAGCCTGGCCAGGTCTCTCTGAACGGCAGCACAGCCCTCTGGGGGGTCAGCCACTCCCCCCAGTTTTGTATTATCAGCAAACTTCACCCAGGTCATTGATGAACACATTGAACAAGACTGGAGGCAGGACTGCCCCCTGGGGGACACCGCCAGCTACAGGCCTCCAACTAGACTGTGCCACTGATCACAACTCTCTGGGCTCTGCCGTCCAGCCAGTTCTCAATGCACCTCACCGTCCGCTCACCCAATGCACACCTCCTGAGTTTACCTGTGAGGATGTGATGGGAGAGAGTGTCGAAAGCCTTGCTGAAGTCCATGCAGACAACATCCACTGCTCTGCCCTTGTCTACCCAGCCAGTCATTCCATCATGGAAGGCTATCAGATTGGTCAAGCATGATTTTCCCTTTGGCGAATCCATGGGAATCACTACTCCTGATCACCTTCTTGTCCTCCATATGCTCCAGGATGAGCTGTTGCATCATGTTTTTAGGGCTGGAGGTGAGGCTGACAGGCCTGGAGTTTCCTGGCTCCTCCTTCTTGCCCTTTTGGAAGACTGGAGTGATGCTGGCTTTCTTCCAGCCCTCAGGCACCTCTCCTGTTCTCTTCTTACACAAAAATTAAATCAGAAAGGTCTCCCATTTTCTTACAGACTTGCTACAAATGCTTTCCTGACGCATACCTTCTAAGGAGTTCTTTTATCCTTCCATGTCTTATGTTTCAGGTTACATCCATCAAAGGGAACCTATTCCTGGCATAACACATTAGCTTAACAAAGGTGATTTCCTTTGGGAAGTCTTGAGGGTCTTGAACAGATTTAGTCTTTACTCTTAAAATGTATGTACTTCTTTTCCCCTCACACTTATTTAAGGCAATCTTTTCATTCATTTAGCTGAAATGAATAATTTTCATATATTAGATCAAGGATCATCTCTTATATGTATATGTATAGTATCATCTCTCACTGGCTATTCAATAGCTCTTTAACTTAATGAAGTTCACCTTCTTTCTGATTCAGCGTCTCCATCCATGAAATATTTTATATTTGATTACTTTATATTTTATAGTTGTACATCATTATATAAATCATTTTGCATATAAACGTCTAAATGGCACAGAGGCCTGCAGCTCTCTGAGACCATTTAAGACAGTAATTAACCAGTGCAGCTGGAGTCATAGATTTGGGATGATTAAGCCTTACCTACTTTCTTCTAGACAACTGTAGCAGATAGGAATAGGACTGGGAGAGACTTCTGGGGAAATACGGCCAGCCTGGTATGGAGGGCTTTAAACTAGGCAAGATGGGGGAAGGGGAGTGGTATAGTGGCAGGGGAGTCAGTAAAACACCGCTCAAGTCAGGATGCCTCCAGCGGGTGCATACAACCAGGGGAGACAGCATGGGACATGGCACCTCTTCTGGGAAGCCTGCGTGCTTGACTGGCTCTCTGAAATGCCTGTATACCAATGCACGCAGCATGGGGAATAAGCAGGAAGAGTTAGAGATCTGTGTGCGGTCGCAGGGCCATGATCTCATTGCAGTGACAGAGACATGGTGGGATAGTTCACATGACTGGGATGCTGTCATGGATGGCTATGTGCTTTTTAGGAAAGACAGGCCAGGAAGGCGAGGTGGTGGAGTTGCTCTTTATGTGAGGGAGCAACCAGAATGTCTGGAGCTCTGCCTCGGGGTGGATGAAGAGCAAGTTGAGAGCCTATGGGTAAGGATTAAAGGGCAGGGTAACATGGGTGACACTGTTGTGGGGGTCTACTACAGGCCACCTGACCAGGAGGAAGTCATCGATGAGGCCTTCTACAGACAGCTGGAAGAAGCCTCACGATCACAGGCCCTGGTTCTCATGGGAGACTTCACCACCCTGACATCTGTTGGCAAGACAGCACAGCTAGGCACAAACAGTCAAAGAGGTTCCTGCAGAGCATTGATGATAATTTCTTGACCCAGGTGGTGGAGACGCCAACGAGGAGAGGTGCAATGCTAGACCTTGTACTAACGAACAAAGAAGGTCTAGTTGGAGAGGTGAAGGTTGGGGGCAGCCTTGGCTGCAGTGACCATGAGATGGTGGAGTTCAGGATCCTGCGAGGAGGGAGCAGGGCAATGAGTAGGATTGCAACGCTGGACTTCAGGAGAGCTGACTTTGGCCTCTTCAGGGACCTACTTAGGGGAATCTCATGGGGTAGGGCCCTAGAAGGAAGAGGGGTCCAAGAGAGCTGGTTAATATTCAAGCGTCACTTCCTCCAGGCTCAGGATCAGTGCATCCCTCTGAGGAAGAAGTCCAGCAAAGCGGGCAGGAGACCTGCATGGATGAGCAAGGAACTCCTGGCCAAACTCCAGCAGAAGAAGGAAGTGTACAGAATGTGGAAAAGGGGACAGGCCACTTGGGAGGAATACAGG